TTCCTTAAATTCCTGCTGTAGTTTCCAGAGAACCAAAGATGCTTCAAATAGATGTGCTAGCATATTTGAATCTCAGTTGATATCATGCTGAAGTCTTCTGGCAATTTAGGCAATCTTAATTATTGATTTGGGAGAAAGTACTAGATAAATAGTAACAATGATATCATCATGAGTATTGGGACCCTGACTCTGGACTTAGGCCCGTTTTGCAGTTCAAGGCTAATCATGCTAACTCAGTGACATTCAGGCATTCCCAATCACACTGGGAAGTCATGTTTAGGTACAGATTAAACAGGCAATTGAGAAATTCCAAAGTTTTACTTATCATGGGATCCTCAAATAACATTCATATGAGTAAAACTGAGCATTATGTCTTACGTCAAGTGTACCTGTTTCCACTAACTAGTGCATGATGTTGATCATATTTGCATTCATTGATTCACTGAACAGTTATTTTCTCAGTGCGTTCTTTGTGCTAACCGTTCTGAATACTTAGGTAAGAATTCTGAAAATGATGCTATATTCTATGATACATATTTTTTAGATTTTGTAAAATGCCAGGGTAGTTTTATATATCATTAAATGATTCTGCTTTAACTGGTATTGGTTACAATAAATACAAAACAAAGATTTAATGACCCAGATCACTTATGAAGTGGTTTATTAAAATGTGTGGTCTAGGAAGACTGGTTAATTTTAACCAAAAAGTTAGATATATAACCAAACAGTAGAAATTGCAAGAGTTAAATAATTAGAACATCTATACTTACTATCATGATGAGTTTTGGTCAGATGATCAGAGTCCAAAGCATGATAATATTCATAAATTGAGCGGCCCAAAAGTTCTTCTGGCTCGTATCCCATCAATTCGGTAATTCTGTTAAATAAAAAATGTAAGTAAGAATAAAAATGACAGAAACTAACTAATGAAGGACATTTTGCTTCTCCAGAGTAACTGATATGCCTTAATCTTATGGACAATTGAATTTTCAAAAATAAAGAGCATTCTTCTTTGTTTAGATAAACTTATATCTCACCTATAGTAACTCTACAGTTACTAAATGCAGCACCATGCATTTCTTTAAGCCCTAAGGGTTCATCCCGCTATTTAACCCTTTTATCTGTTACCTATTTTTATCATGTTTTATTGTACACACTTTTGCTAATAAGACAGTTAATTAATGTAATAGATAGATATGAAGGTCTGCTAAATTAAATGATAAAAGCTTTAAAAGTAGTTAATGACATTTAAATTATAGACTAAACCCATAACATTATTCTACCATACAACCAGATTCCTTTTGTGTGTGTGTATACTAAATCAGATTCTTTATATAACAGTTCCTCTAGGCAAGGCTTTACACTTTGGGGGATCAATATCTACTACAAAATTTTAATATAGGAACTAAATAAATTCATATTTTGTTGGTTTGGGTAGATACTCTTGTACTTAGTTTTTGAAATTACATAAAATTATAGGAATTCATTTCAGATGAAACTGTGATATCAAAGTGAAAACGAACTGGAAAATAATCCATTTACCCATTCTGGTTCCCTGGCAGTTCCTTTAGAACAGAGACTAGATCTTATGACTTCCTCTAACCACAGTCTGAAATGGAGCCCATTTCATGAGAAAAAGAAAGCTGTCTTCTTAGCACCATGCTAAACATAAATATTCTCTCCTTTTCAGGGAGCAAAACATGAGTTAAGTTCTTTGATTTCTCAGACTTTAGGATTCAAAGGACTTTCTAACTGAGGCACAAGCAAAAGTTATATAATGCACTGTATCCAAAAAACCAGCTAACTCCAGAAAACACACAGGGGAGATATCCTTCTCCTAAAAAATGTATAAAACTAATACTGTTTGTGTTGTCATACCTTAAGGCAAGATCTGCCATAGTGTATTCCAAAATAAATAAACAGATAAATAGCTGAAAAAAACAGAAACTAAACAAAACTAAGCCAAAATCCAGAATTCTTTACTAAGGGATATCTCTAAACACATCTACACTAGGTGGCAGCATTACAAAGGAAACTACTGTTACAAAAACCCAAAAATCCTATTTCTTTAAATTATGCTTTAAAAATGATTTTAATTGGTCTCATATAGGTTATATGTTTGAATAAAACTCTCATGGAATTAAATTTTTTTCATTATTTAAACCTTTATATTCCCATATGTGCCTGGCGTTGTTCTCGATGTGAAAATGCAAAGGCAAAGTATGGTGAATTTTCTGGTGCACTTACCACAGTACTTATGAAATTATGTGGCAAGTGCAGTGATGGGAATCGTGCAGGAATCAGAGGAACCAGCCCTATCCATGATAAGGAATGGTGGCGGTGAGGGACAGCTTCTTATAGGAGACTTATGAGTTGAGTATAAAAGAGAGTCAAAGAGAGAGCAAAACCATTTCGGAAAGAAGGTACACTACAAGCAAAGCCAGAGATGAGAAAATGGTCAACACTGTACAGGCAACAAATACTCTGACATGGTTAGCAGGGGGAAGTGGGGAGGTGAGGCTGGAGAAGTAGGCAGGAGGATGAGATTAATGAGAGCTTTTGTGTATCACGTTAAGGAGCTCTGATTTAATCAGATGTCAATCAGTGCTTCTCAATCTGAGCTGAGGTATGTCTATCACTAAAATATAAACATCAAAATACAGCATTATTTTCCTAGGTCAATTGTATTCATATTTGAGGGAGAAAGGTCAAGATAATTTAACATTAGAGAATTACATAGCTTTTTATACCAAAAAGGGGAGGAGTGATCCAGAAAGTTTAATCAAAAAGTGTTTTTAATGGACTAGGAAACCTGTAATCTAAAGCAACTGTGCAGTACAGGATTCATTCATTCTAAGTATCATGGGGTGGGAATTAAACTTCATTTCTACTTTAGTGCCAGTTGTCGTGCCACAAACATAGTAGATGCTCAAATGTTTGAATGATTATAAGTGGAAATTAGTATAATAAATAATAGCCATTTGTGGGACATTTTGGATATAAGAAGTTTGATATGTTAGATTTTCTCAAAATTGAGAAAAATTTTTTCTATATCTTGGTTCTTAGGGGTTATAGCTGTGAGAAGTTCCTAAAAAGAGCTCTAACCAGAAAACAACAATCTCCTGGTCAGACTCAAAACCTTACTTGGTTGGTCTCTAAGCAGGCTGCCTTTACCCCTCTGCCACGACCATTTTGCTTATTTTCTAAGATAACCAGAAGGGGAATGTCACTCCCTTTCTTGTTTTCTCATTGTAGCTCCATCACTTTTCTTTCTCCCCAGCCCACCCCTATACTTCATACTGAGTTCAAAAAATAAAAAATAATTCCTAAAAAAATGATGGGCCATCTCTGTTCTATCATACATTGACATAAATACAGGCAGTAAACACCATAAAATACTTCTTAGCTCTTCTGTCTTCATTCTTCTTAAAGCTAACCCCAGTGGTGAAGCAGTCACTATGCGTACTAGGCACTCAACAAACTCCTTACAACGGCCTTTTGAAGCGTGACCCTTATTTAACAGATAAGGAACATGAGATTTAGAACAGTTAAGTTGTAACACCCAGGCCACACTATAAGTACCAGGACTGCAAGCCAGGACTGAATCAAGAATTATGTGATTCCAAAGCCAGTGCTCTGTCACATTTTCTTGTCCAGTAGGACTGGGGCTTCTTATCCACTTCATGTTAGAGCTAAGGGCTTCAAATCAGTTTTCTCACATAATGTTCAAGTTGAAGATAATACAGATACATGTATTATACTCTAAACAAACTGATGCTCAAAGAAAAGTAGTAATGTGTCTAAGATCATCTGGATATAGGCAGCAAAGTCAGAAGTTAGTAGTCTGGGTACAGAACCTATGCCTTCAGCCACTGTGTTACACAGTCTTACAGTAAAAAATGGGACAACCAAGCAACTAATTACAAAAGCTGAAAAAAGGTTATGACAGAATATGTATAAGGAATGGTAGTTTTTTAAAGAAACAAGGAAAGCTCTACAAGTAGATGCAGTAGGTGGCTCTTGGAAGCTAAGTACGTGTTTGGAGTTGAGAAAACCATCATTGCACTAAGACAACAGTGCATGTGGAGTTCTCTGGCTGTAGGGTGTTGGGGGCTGCATCAGAAGGGGTCTTCCCCTTCTCCTGATTAATTTGGAGAAGTCAGCAGGGGCCAGATCATAAATATCTTTGCTTGCCATGCTAAGAAGTTTAGATATATTGCATAGGTCTGTTTTTCTTTCAGCTTTTCAAAATGTATGTCTTCCTTTGATAAAAATCTCCTGCTCTTATAATATTTTTTATAAACAAAAGTTTTTTTGTGTGTGAAGATGAAGGGAAGCAACTGAGGCATTTTCACATGACATGATATGATTTTCACATGAGGAATTCCACTTCTTGGAAACCTGGATGAGATTAAAAGGGCACAAATCTGTTGGCAGAGATGCAGTTAGGAGACTATGGCAACAGTTCAAGCCAAAGGTAATAATAAGCTGAAGAACTCAATGGCAGGAAAGCAAGAGTGGAAGGAAGGAATGGATCAGGAGGTATATGTACATAGTAAATCTATTAAGATTTAGGAACCAACTGAGTGTAGATAATGAAAGCAAAAGAAAAGTTAAGGACAACTTCCCAATGTTTGCTGGAGTCATGTGTCTACAGTGGTATATTAATCGTGATAGGCATTAAAAGAGGAAAAGCTGTTTCTGAAGTGTTGTTTAGGGGTAGGAGTGTTTCAGTCAAGTACAGAAATATTTAGTCTATAATACAGAAGAATATCCAGATAAAAATATCAAATTGGCAATTAAATGGAAATAGTTATGAGTAGAAATTTGAGAAACAGCAATAGAAACCATGGGCAAGGATGGAGCTGCTCAGGAAAAATATGTAGGATGAGGAGATGACCAAAGACTTTCCTTTCTAATCCACAAACAGAAGTAATCCTTCCTCAAATTATGCACTGTATATCTCTAAAATATATTTATCTTTTCTTTAAATAAATTAGAACCCCTAAAGGAAAAAGACCTCATCCTAATAATCTCTGGATAGCACCTGCTAGAGTAAGTATGTATGGTACATAGTAAATGTGCAATAAATGTGGCTGAATTAATCTATAAAGTTAATTTTACTAAATTCTAGGATGTATGGTTGTATTCAACTTAAGTGGAAGAAAGCATGCATAGTCTTTATTACAGTTAATAGTTAAAAAAAGTTCTGTGGACTAATTAAAAATTTCAAGTTATATTTTATATTTCATTTACCTTTCATCACAATAAGAAAACTTCATATCCAGACTGTGACGACTGAGAAAAGTCTTGCTGTCTAAAGGAATTTCAATATTTGACGGATGAGGAATGGGTTCACAAATCAGCACCAAGCATGTCATAGGTGGTTTCTTATACCCACATTGAGATTGGTTACTATTGGTATCATATACATGAATATGGCCTGTGCAGTGAAGTACCTATGTATAAAGAAAAACAAAGCAGTTTTTAAAAAAATTTATGCTAGTAAAAAACAAAATGCAGAGACAGTTGAGTCTGACATGGCAAGTAAGCTTTGATAAAATTTACTGTCATTAGTAGATTACTACATTTTTGAAAATCAATAAATGTTTTCCCTACAACACCACCCATGACCCCTCAGGCACCATAAGATTACTCTTTAAAAAAATTTGCCTTCATACAAATCTGAGCTGATTTTTCACTCATCTGGTCACTGTTTGATGGTTATTTCTTGATCTGATGACTGTGTTTCAACACTGAGCAAAGAAATGATACAACAACGAATAGAAAATTAATCTCTATCAAGATTCAAACACTGGGTGGTTGGCAAAGCCAGTAGCATCACAATGCACATAAGTTCATGCCTCAAATTGGTGAATTACTACACTGTTTGGATGTTAAATCTATAAATGCCAAGGAACAGTAAGTTTTTCCCTCATAGTTCTAATGCTATCTTAATTTTATTTATTTATTTATTTTTGGCTGCACTGGGTCTTTGTTGCTGTGCACGGGCTTTCTCTAGTTGTGGCGAGTGGGGGCTACTCTTTGTTGCGGTGCGCGGGCTTCTCGTTGTGGTGGCTTCTCTTGTTGTGGAGCACGGGCTCTAGGCATGCGGGCTTCAGCAGTTGTGGCACATGGGCTCAGCAGTTGCAGCTCGCAGGCTCTAGAGCACAGGCTCAGTAGTTGTGGCACACGGGCTTAGTTACTCCGCGGCACGTGGGATCTTCCCGGACCAGGGCTCGAACCCGTGCCCCCTGCATTGGCAGGCGGATTCTTAACCACAGCGCCATCAGGGAACTCCTCTAATGCTGTCTTAATATTAGAAATGTCAAGATGTATTAATTTATCTATAAATCAAGTGCATTCACAGATCATTTTTACTTACTTTCCATGTTGCAGACTTTATGTTCATAGTTCTTCCCCGGCTAGTTAGGGTACACTTCATTCTGAGAAAAAAGCTCCGCTGTGTATTTTGCTCTTTACCCTTTTTCACAAGGCCTAATGAAAACATGAAATAAACTTAAAAAACATAATTAAACACACAAATTTATTACAGTAAGAATAGCATAGTCCCCAGCACCTAGGTGCTACTCAATGAAAAGTGTCAACATGAGCACAACTGCTTTGCGCATTTTAACATACCCAAGGGATTTAACACACTTCTAGTAAGTAATGGGTTCACAGTAGTAGTGATTCCCTGAGTTGGTGGGATGAGAATCCATATTTGGGATAGCACCTAATCATTTCACATTCAAGCCAGTAAGGTTGGTCAAATTACAAAGAAATATAAACACTGTATGAATTTGCCCTATAACTGTGTTATCAGTGTACAAAGCACACCCAAAAAAAGAACTTCAGCAAACTCCTCCAAACTTTTACTAGATGTGCTAGCTCAATTTATAATAAATATTCTGTATATTTATAGAACTTTTAAAACAGAAAATTTCTCTTCAATAGCAAGTAACATTTTTATATATCTGATTTTTCTTAAATCTTCCTGTAAAGCAAGCAGGAAATTATCTCTACTTTGTTACTAGGAAAAAAAAAACCATGTTGAATGACTTTTCAAAGCAAAGTTAGATTTAAATAAACTCAAGTCTATTTACTCCCATTCCAAGCCTCAGATAACTAAAAAAATGAGATTAGACTCAGGTGACTAAACAAACAGCAACTTGATTTCTCCTCTTCCTTGATCAGTCTGATTCACAACAAATACAAAAATATTCATTATTCAGGATCTGGACTAGATACTTCAGGCAATATAAAGATGAACAAGACACAATGCCTCTCCTGAAGAAGTTAAAAACTGAGTATACGTAGTGAGGCCAATGACAACAATATGATGTAGAGTAAGCGCCCAAGGCTTACAAGAACTCTTTAAAGGAGTACAGAGAGAGATTAGAAGATAACTTCTAGTCAAGGGGAAATCTAGTCAAGGGGAAACCAAAAAGTCCTTCTTAGAAAAATAGACATTAGAATTTCAGTAAGTAGAGATGAATAAGAAGAGTATTCCAGGCAGAAGAACAGAACGAAAAACAGAGAGGTGAGAAAAAACAGCACATATTTGGGGAACAGTGCATAGTCCAGTTTGACTATAATATAAAGTACATGCAGAGGAGTAATGAGACAAACTTAGAAGGGATGGTTAGGCCTATAACTATAGAGGGCTATGGATGCCACAATGAGGAGTTCAGCCTTACATATACAAAATACAGCTTCTAAAAAATTTGAGTTGGGAAGCACAATAGGAACTTAAGGAACATTAATCTAGCAGCAATATATATGATGTGTTAGAATACAATGATGGTAATGAGGGGCTGAGCAGCAGGCAGTAGAAGTGAAAAGAAGGGCAACAAAAGACAAGTGAAGAGGTAGAATCTATAAAAACTCAAAGATTAATGGAAATAAGGGAGAAGAGAACTTTTTAAAAAAGACCTGGAGATTTTGAGCCTAGTATATTGAAAGAAAAGTAACATGTGGAAAAGAAACAAGATAATACGTTTAAATTTAGGCTGCTTAGCTAGAAATACTGGACTCTTGAGAAAGAAGAGCTCTAGTTCATACTCACAATTACAGAATATAGGCAAGTTGGGGCAGTCTTGGTGCTGATACAAGTTATTTGGGTTTACTTAAATAGGACTGAATTTGCCCTCCCTAGAAGCATTTGAAAGTGGATTTTAAAAAGACACAAGAACCACAGTGGTCTTGGTGATGGTATTAGGGATGTGTGTGTGGGGGGGTGGGCGTTGTGGTAGCAGCAGAGATCCACATGTAAATTCTTTGGGGTATTTTCAGTCCTTCAAAATCTAAACTTGAATTGGACTGACCTTTGGGAACCCAAAGCCTTTGAACTGGGACATGAAGATATTAATAAATTTAAAAACTATGGTAAGTGAAAAGTACTAGCATTTTCCTAATGAAAAAAAGTTTTTAAACAACTAAGTTTTTAGCCCTATAAAAATAAATACTTTATAATAATTTAATGAACTCTAAATCTTATTTTTAGAATTTAAATGAAATAGGACTATGCTGTATAAACAATACCACAGGCTCTTAGTGTATCATCAAAATGTGATGCATTGCAGCAGCCGCACTTTGCTAAAAGTGAAAATCTGCATTTTTCTTTCCCAACAAGATATCAAAAATTCATTAACATTAGGAATGATTTTTTTAAATGTTCATAATTAAATCACAAATGTATTATAAGAGAGCATATGTGCTTTGAACGTTCATGTGCTTTAAAAAAACATTTGGTTAAAAACATACATTTAAGCTATAATAAGTAGACTATATCTGATTTAGAATAATGCATTAGCATCATTACCAAATCAAAACAAGACTTCCATATATCCATGCATTTATAGTCTAGCCCAAGGGAAGCACTGAGCTGCCAATACAAACCTCAAAGTGTAAACACTATATTAAACTCATCAACGGCCCACTTAGGTCCTTGCTTAGAGTATATTTACTCCTCCTTTACACAGAATTCTAAAAAGTATTCATTTGCTTTCCAAGTTCACAGTAAGAACACGGCATGAAATTAAATAACAGAAGAGGGCTCCAAGGTGAGAAATGGCAGTAGAATGTAATGAGAGTTGGTGAACATGAAAAGAGCTCTAAAGTACTAAGGAGTGTGGACTTGAGCCAGTCTACCTTAGTTTAACCCTTATTCTGCTGTTTACTAACCAAGTAATCTTCAGCCAGTTATTCAATAACTCTGTAACTCAGTTTCCTCAGTAAAACGGAAATAGTTAACCTCACAGGGTTTTTAAAGGAGTTAAAGCACATAAAATTCAGAAAACAGTGTCCTGGGACAGAGTAATCTCTCAATAAAGGTTAACTATTAGTATAAATGAGGTGAGATTAAACAGAAAACCATAAAAAATTATTAACAAAGAAATATAAATGAGGTTGTTTAATGTAGAAGCAAACAAACTTACACTTAAGTGGGAGAGCTGCAAAGAACAACCACAGAGCAAAATGACAAATTTTCAGTGTGGTAACTTTTGAGTCATGAAAGAAAGATCAAATTATGATCTATATACTCTATTTAAGAAGGCACAGCTGTGAAAAGAATTTAATTCAGTTTTTGTAATTCACAAGGTACTTTTCTCCCAAATCTTGGAAGATTTGATTATTTTTAACAATTCATTCCTGAGTTAAAGGTCCGAGCAGGTCTTTTTTGTTACTGCTAATGTGGAGGCATCCATAATGTAATACTTTCTAACTGAACTGCATAGTCTCAAATTATTGTGAACAACCTGAGGGGTCAGACAGCAGTTATGCTCTTTAAAATTGGGGAAACTTTTTCTTTTTCTTGGGCATTTAGAAGCTTGAGCCCAAACTGGCACCTCAACTTTAATAACTGTCTAAAATCCTATTTTTTGTATTATGACTTCCCCTTGCCTTAAAGTTACATTCTAAATTAACTTCCTTGGTCCTGATTTTCATTTATTTTTCCATTTTATCAATTCTTATATTTGTATAATTATTTATGGATTAGGTGGGCTTTTTAAAAAATTTAGGTATTTTTATGAAATTCCTAAAAAATAGAA